AAAGAATAGGTGCATTCAATTGCTTGTTGACTGTTGTTAGCATGTGGCTGTTGACTTCTAACGCAGAAAAAGAATTGCTGACAAATTAGTCAGTTTAATGTCATCAAGGACATTGACATTCATGTTTCAACCAATTTCTTTTTTATTAGCTGGTTGCCTAACCACTCCGTGAGGGGTTTGGGGGGAAGTTGGAGACAGTTTAATTAAGTAGTGAAAGGGAGTATACAGCATTATTATTCAACACAGCATAGTGTTGAAGGTAGAAGTTCCTATTCCGCATAGGGGAAAGGATGAATAAATTGGTAAGTAGCAGAGGACGTGCTAATTGTTGTATTGTATATATTTCTGGCGGAAGTATATTGACTCATAATCAATGTTACTAACCCTTACTCTTCAGCTGTCATTCTTCTTACTACAGCGGTGTTACTAATTTGATATTTTAATTTGTAGTGTAAAAGGGAAGGTTTTGTCCAGAAGATCAAGGATGAAGAAGGTGAAGGATGTAACATTCATGGATCTCTAGAGGTCAATAAAGTGGCTGGAAATTTTCACTTTGCTGCTGGCAAAAGCTTTCACCAGTCAACCTTTCAACTCTTCGAATTGATTTCCTTACAATCGGATACTTATAATGTAAGATGCCTTTAATAATAATTTACTCTTAAAAGTAGATTGTTATTAGTAATTTGATGTGTTTAGAAATGTTGGCTAGCATTCAATTAACATTTTTTTGTGTCATGCAGATAAGTCACAGGGTAAATAAGTTAGCTTTTGGCGACTCTATTCCTGGAGTTGTAAATCCACTTGATGGGTAATTTCCTTGCTCTCTGATGACTCTGCTATGTTTTGCCGTGTGTGTTCTTCTGTCTACAGGTCAAGGTTAACTTGCTGTTTTGAAGTTTAACATGCATTTCCCAACTTATACCAAATCATAGTTACAACTTAGAACATTGGTTTGTTCGTGTAATTGCGATTTGGCACATTTGTCTTCCAATTCTTGCTGAACAACTATATTGATTGTATTTTCTCTACGTGTATCACATATCCTCCCGGATTTTCCACCTCTCCCTAGGGAAAAGGAAAAATGAAGAACATAGCATTTCCATTCTGTTTTTTTTTTTAAATAACTGTGGTGCTCGGGCCAGCTTGTGTGCACCTCGACTAATTCCATAGGGTATCTGCCACCTCACAGCAACAACAGGTACCAGATAGCTCTGTCCACCAAGGCTAGGACAAGGACATATAAGGAGAAATCACCTAGTGTTTTTGTCTCTGCTAGGATTTGAACCTGAGACCTCATGATTTTCAACCCACATCATTGACTACTAGGTCACACCCTTGGGTGCATATTTCCACTCTTTTTAATCTCTTGCAATGGTATAGTGCCTAAAATTTTTGGTTCTATTACTTTCTAGGGTTCAATGGACACAGGAAGCACAGAATGGAATGTATCAGTACTTTATCAAAGTAAGTGTGTGTGGACATAGCATTCATCCTTTCTGTTTCTTTCTCCTCCTGATTTGCATGTATCATGTATGCTTTATACATCTGATCTTGGAAACGGGTACGAGGCAGAGAAGGAAATTAAGTAATATGATTAAAGGGAAAATAAGGACCTGTACAGGAGAAGCATAGCAACTCAAAACTGTAAATTTCAAGTTTCTATGAATCTATCACCCTCCATGTAAGTGTAGGTAAAGCTGTGGTGGGACTCAGAAATACGTAAATAATCTAGTACTTCTCAAAATATAATTCCACCGGGCTGAATGTGTCTCACAAGGAAACATTCGTCTAAGCCCAAGAAGTGCTCTGTAAATTCTATGCTAATTGTGTCATTGTCACGGTATTTAATTTTAAATCACTAGTTAACCCCTTGGCCGCCAATCTTAGTTGCTATGTCCAGTGTGAGCTTGGTGCTTGGCTATTTCTGTTAATAAAAGCTTAATTTACTGATTAAAAAACTCAATTTTAGTTGCTTTTGGGGGAAGAAATAAAGATTAAGCACAACAGAGGAACTGAAATAAAAAAGAATTCATTGTTATGCTTCATGATTTGGAATGTTGTCTTGCCAGCGACAGATGTTACATTGAAAACGAACACCAATTGTTGCATATTTCCACAAAGTACAGATTACAACCAAAAATGCGACACAACATATGAATCTCCTACCCATACTTGTGATTTAATTAGGAATCAATTGGCAAGAATCAAACATTGTGTTTGTTTCAAAGTTGAGAAAATAAGAATTTGCTCAATGTGTGCTGGTGTTTCAGGTGGTCCCTACAATATATAAAGGTGTTAGAGGCCGTACTATTGATTCAAATCAGGTATTTTTTGGACCATTTTTAGATGAACATTTTCTCTTGAAATTTCTGTAAATCATCCTAATATGAAAGGACATTGGTTATGTATAGTTCTCAGTGACCGAGCATTTCAAGGGTTCAGATTTGGGTCTTTTCCAATCAATTACTGGAGTTTACTTCTTTTATGATCTCTCTCCAATCAAGGTGAAATCTTCCATCCATTTTTTCCCCTTTATTCCTCTTCCTGTTTTTTTTAAAATTAATTATATATAAGTATGATTCTTCCCATCTGTCCTAGCCTTGGTTGACAGTCACCTGGTACCTGTTGCTGTGGGAGGTGGCAGGTATCCTGTGGAATTAGTTGAGATCCGTGAAAGCTGGCCCAGACACCACTCACCACTGTCATAATTTTTTTTTTATATATAAGTAGATGTGCAAGTGATGGATATAAAATATGGGTTGGAGGGGTTTTCCCTTCTGTATTATATCAGTTAGATATCCCAATTTGACAGTAGTCTCTATCATGAACATGCAAGCATGAAGGTGAAAACTTCAAGACGGAAATTGCTTACTTTTTGGTTATAAAAAAGAGAAGAATCTTGAAAAATGATTAAATTTGCAGTGGAGCAAGATGATTTATTCTTCCAATTTGGTTTCTTGTTGCAGGTGACTTTCACAGAGGAGCATGTGTCATTCTTTCATTTCCTCACCAATGTTTGTGCAATTATTGGAGGTAATTCACTGTATTATATATTATTCAGCTGATTTTTTTTGTATTAATGTTACTTGTGATTGTTGGAGGAGTATCTCAGTCTATGATTATATGACTTCCAAGGAAAGATAGAATGGGTGGAAACTAGACAATTAGAAGATCTCTTTTTAGCTGCTCATCTATTCCAAATGCAATCTGGAGTTCTTTCAAGCTCCAGATATCAGTTTTTCCATCATTGTGAAATTATGTTTGATTTGCCATTAAGCTTGACTGAGTTACATTGCTTTGGTAACACTTCATTGCGAGTAGGGTGTTAAACAAAATTCTGTCCACAACTTTGTGTATCCAAATTTTGCTTTGCATTTTATTTCAAATCTACAGTATTTAAGCTTTTACACTGGTCAACCAAGTGGTGAACATTCATTTTTCTAGATAACTTTGTATGAGTAATATCCTTTTCTTCTCAATTTTTATTCCTTACAACCTGTTGGATACTTACAGCATTGTCCTGGTCCTTTCATCAGGTGTCTTCACAGTTGCTGGAATATTAGATGCATGTATTTACCATAGTCAAAAGGCCATAAAGAAGAAAGTGGAACTCGGGAAGTTCGGTTAATGACACTACTGCAAGCTAGTGCTTCATCACCCTTGATGCAGTAGCTACTACTGCATAGTATTGATGCTTGTTCATTTTGCTGTCCTCAGCCCTTCTGATGGATTCGTTTGGTTATTTATTATGTACAAGCCTTCCAACAGAAAGGAAGACATGCATCATGTTTCATAGGGTAAATTACATTCAGAAGGGCTGAACTCCACAACTGCAGAATATGACTAACTTCTGTAATTTCTGCTTCATTTCATTCTCATTTTGCTCCATTTTTCATCTTTAAGTTAGACGATCTTGGGTATTGTTGAAAGGAGAGATGATGTTTTCTGTAGTTCTGATTGGAAGTCACATGCCGAATGTTTCCCTAGTAACAGAGTAAATTCTAATTTGTGTTACAAAGTTGACTTGTGCCAATGGGCTACCACATTGATTGTATACTTAGATGTCAAACATGATCCTGAATTTTAATTACTTATGATCGGACCACCAGTTTGCCCAGCAAAAATGTGAGATTCTGTAAAGTGTTGCTTTTCATTTCTAATTTAATTGCATTTACGGATTGGGGCAAACACAAAAAGGAAGATCAAAGACGAAGTTAAGCACAGGCTTAAAGTTTACTGCACAACTCTCTGAATAAATTCACCAGAGAAGTTTTAGCTTATCGAAGCTCGTGATAGGATTCATCAGGAATTTATACAGCAGGGAAACTATGCTGTCAAAATATTCAATGAAATAAAACCAACTTTAGCTATAGATGGGCGTCTAAACAACGTACATGCGGGTTCTCTATTGATTGTTAATTTGCTCTCTCTACTTTTAATACAAAAATAATGTGTTGCTGCCCAGGATCGAACTGGGGACCTTCAGTGTGTAAGACTGACGTGATAACCACTACACCACAGCAACTTATTGATAGTTACTGTCAGCTTTTTTATATATACCTAAGGTTGATCTTTTTCTGAAAATAAAACTGGAGAACAGGTTTTCCCCATCCTTCCTGTCACATAATTCTGAATCCCATTTAGCATGGAATAGGTCATAAAGGTCGGGTAACGTCAGCATATATCTTATCCTCCCAAACCCACTTATGGTATCACACTGAATACACGTTCATGCAAGCAATTTAAAGACGAATGGATAATCCATTATATTCATTCCTATATATCTAGTTATCTACACGACTACATGGGTGTGTCGATAAATGGAACGATTCAAATTTAAGAGAGTGCCTGAAATCCCGCCCATCAACTCTTTACGTTTGATTTTATGGTTATTGTATTTTTATTTGGTATTTCTCCCCCCCACCCGGTAAATAGCTCTGTTTGTGTCCGCATTCGTAACTAACTTACTGTACAAGTACCAATTTAAGTTCCAACATAGCTTAAATAACTCCAGCACATGATATTTCAAGGCCAACACACCATTGCCTGTTGTAGTAGTAACTCAATAAATCTGCAAGAGAAACTCTTGTCAAGGGGGCAAGTTGTATCGTCATATATGCTACAGGAATACAAGCATGAATAGTCAACCTGAAAACTGAGTTCAAGGAGATGGCATCATTGGCCATCAGAGGACCCATGTCTCCAAGCATTCTTATTGCAACACTAAAATACGACAGTTCAAAGCGTCTTTGCTTTTCGACTGCTTGTTACCATGAACTCCTCGCACTGTAACACTAAGCAATATACTTGAATGGGTCGGTCAGAGAATACACAGCCAAAGTTCCTCTAATTGCAACATGAGAACATGAAGCCTTTGCTTTTCACTGACGAACATTATTACCATTGAAGTTCCCCAGCTTAACTCCTGCAGTCAATGTAGACACTGAATGATTCCTGCTAACAGATCTCCAGACATGGACTATTTCACTTGAAGGAACATCCACTAATCAATCCAAGATTCAAGCTGGTTTATCTGCAGTAAGCTGAAAGCAGCAATTGTGAACCTTACACCAAGCTTGGCTTGAGGATTGGAAATGGGTTGGTGTATCAAGGCTATCTATTTTTTTCTCGCAAATGTGACCAGACGAGAGTAAAAGAGAGATCTGACTCCTTTCATTCAACTTCTGAGGGGTTCAAAGTTTAACTCTGCCTCATTTTACCATGCTAGGTAAATGTTTTTCTCTTCCTCTTTAAGCTCCACTCCTATGGGCCATCAAACCAGTCACTCAATGACGGTAAGTGTTAGGTATAATCAAAAGACACAACCAGCACTAAAGCTTCACTAATAACTCAATGTAATTGACAAATTAATGATTTGCATCACCCGCTTGGAGAGGTAGAAACATTTTGTAATTGCATGCACACCCTCATAATTTAATTTCAACTATTTTCTTTTTTTCTCTTCTGAGCAAGATATTCATGATACTCTACCAATTCTTTCTCCATTTTCTCAATAAATTGACTAGTATGCTCCAAAGACTGCTCATATCGATACTTCTCCAAGGCCTGCAGTTTTACAAGACAACAAGGTAAATCTTCAGTTGAATATAAAATCCTTTTTATTCTTACGATCAAGCTGATTCAAGCATGATATCACAACAAAAAAAATGCATACATTACCTTATCTTTAGATAGAGTATCTGGAGGAGACATAACATCTGGTTGAACATAATTCTTTCCACGATAAAATATTATGGTATTGTCTGGCTTAATGTCAATAACAGTGCCTCTGCTTAGCCGAGTGAGCTCTGCAGCATATTCATGAATCTGCCCAGGCTTGCAAGGCCTGCATACAACCTTAACTGTCTCGTGTTTCTTCCAGTGAAGATGCATATTCAACACCACCCCTCCAAATACTCCTCGTCTACCAACTGGTACATAATTTTTCTTTTTCTCACCAGTGCGCTTCAAGTAAAACTTCTCCTCTTCAGTTAAAATTTCAGGATCATGTGGTTCATCTGGAGCTTTAGGTACCTCAAAATTTCTCAATTTCTCAATCAACCAAGCTTCCTTTCGTTTTGCCTACAATATACATGCAATAACCAACAAAAAAAGTTAGATCTCATCACTCTTCTTTTTCTTTATTCATCAGTTGGAGCATTGCAGAAGAAAGTGATGTAGTTTTCGCGAACACGCGAAAGCTATACTCACTTGATGTACATACATGGATAAATAATTCTCTAAGATTTCAGAACCAAAAGTCAGAGCAAGCAAGAGAACAATGTCAAAAATGATGACATACCAATTTCTTCTTTTTTGTTTAAACAAAAAGATAATATTTATTACTTCGCTCTCTACCCCTACCCCGTTTAAATTGCTCAAGAAAGCATAAGCCAATAGGAAAGGGGACCAAAAAAAGGGAATGCAGCACAAACATAAGCTTATTTACATAAATAAATCAGGACAACAGAAACCACTGAAATGCTTGGTAATTTAAACTGGAAAATTACTATATAGAGGCAAAGTATTGTATTCAACATATCTTAGACATGGATATCATCGCCCTTAATGGATCTTACCTTCTCAAGTTTGTATCTGATCCTAACTTCAGGATTTGGAGATCTCATTTTCTTCTTTGCCTTCAGTCGGTATAATCTGAGTTCATTCAATTTTGCTTTTTTAGACATTTTAAACTTCTTCACGACACGCTTAACCTTTATCAGACCACCTCTTTTTCCGATTTCTTGACCAAATCTAAATCTGACAACACCTTTCTCTGTATTCAGCTCTATGGATGGACTAGAGAACCGCCTAGCATGGAGCAATTTCAAAACAATCTCACGAGATCCAGAAGTTAATGAACTTGGCAATAGCAAAGTGTTCATTGCAGGATCTTGACGAGGTAATTTAGGAATTAATCTCATTTGGTGATAGTTTCTGGAAATTGAGGAGTTGCTATGACCAAGAAAACACATAAAGGAAGTAGCTTTAGGCAAATATGGATTTGGAACACTTTGTCCAGAGTAACAAAACATATGAGGAGCTTCCCTGCATAAAACAAAACCAATCAGCGAATAACTTACAAATGCTTAGAAAAAAACTAAAAGAAAAATGTAAGAATGTATGTCATCAATTCGTAACAACCTATAGCACAGGCTAAACTGTTGAATAACCTCAATTTGAGATGTTAATTGTGTCATTCTAATCAAGAGAAAGAGAAAAAAAATATTCACACTTCCATTTGACAAATGAAGAATATCTGTTCTTATTGGAAACTCTAAAATAAGTTCTACGTAGAGAGAGGTTATTCCTCAACTCCGGCGCATAGTAATTCTAAATTTTGGACAAAGAATGAAAATTTCAATAAATTGACGGGCAGTTTAGAAAAACAATATGATGATTACTATGAACTCAAAATATTTTGGATAGAATGATTGAGAGATGGTCGTTTCTTGTTCCTCATTAGCTTAAATACATTAACAAGAACTGAATAAAACTCGTAAATTGACTCGCAGCCTCCTTCTCTAAACAAAACGAAGAAAACGATCAAGCGTCAATAAATAAAAACCCTAAGTACAAAAGTGTCTGTAAATAAATGTGTACCTTGAGACGACATTGATATCGGAATGCCTGAAAATGAAGCTCCAAAACCTGAGGGAAGAGCTTTTCATGCGTTTGTTTATTATTGCAAGCATGATCTTCACGGCGGCGAGTAGTGGTTGCTCAGCCGCACTAATTTACCGGCGAAATTTGACCCGCCAAACGCACAATCCCGCCCCGTGAGCTATGAGTCCCCGTTTAAAATTGGGGCCTTCTAAATTCGGTCTAATGCCAAAGCCCATCAAGAATTAATGGGAAACTTTTGGTAAATAGCCACTTCTTTGATTTTTGATTTTGGAAAAGTGTGTACGATTTTTGAAGATTTTTTTAATTCAAAAAAAAGGAATTTTATTAACTTGTAATACTAAAATAAGTTAGAGATATTTGTGTATTATAAATATATCATTAAAAGTAAAATTAGTTTGATGACTTTTTTTTAGCAATAATAATTTGATGACCTTAGGAGCGGGGGTTTTACCCTGTGCGCACCCAAAAAAGATAGCGGTTGCGGGTTTCCTTTGTCATAAAAAAATAATAATTTGATGACCTTATATGAAATTAACCCAAATAAACCACCTAACCAAAACCACACTTGTTTCATTACTTACTTTTGACAACAGAGTAAACCAATTCACTACATTTCTTTTAAAGCAAGCACGTAATACAATGATGAGAATTATGCTGCACGGGATTATTATGAAACTATTCAACAATGAGTTAAATGATTATTGTTGCTTAATTGATGTGATACACTTTTTTTTAGTCTATTTTTTTAAAAAAAATGTTTTTTTTATATAATTAAAAACTTAACTTTAAAATTTCTCCAAATGATCAAAGAGTGTTTCCATCCCACAAATTGAGACCGATGGAGGAGTAAGCATAGATACTAATTGCTCAAATTAATAACATGGTACAATATTCCAAATTAGGTACTTCATGGAAAATAATGTGTAACGACTTAATTAATTATCGAGACGGAGTTGCAGTTGCTATGGAGTCATCTGTCATAGATTGATCCATTGAGAAGGAGAGATCATCTTCGTCTTCCGATTCGGGTACCGCCCCGTTAATACTTTCCATTTCCCTCAACAGCTCACTAATCTCCGGTCGTTTTTCCGGCGACTTATCACAACAGCTTATAGCAGTCTGCAACAATTTCAACATTCCTGAGTTGGCACTTCTCTGAACAGCAATTTCCGTGTCGAAAATCTCAGCCGTCCATTCTTCTCGGACCGCCCTATGAACCCAACTGCACAGATCCGCACCGGTCACCCCCGGTGGAGCAGAATGTGAAGAAATTCTACCTGTTACAATTATAGCGCACACACTTGTGTCAAAGTCTCTTATTATAATTTGATTTATAAGTGGTTTTGAGTATCAGCCCGATGGTACATTTTCTATTTACTTATATATATCAATGGTATACAACAATGTGATCAATATAATATACCATCAAAATATATGTATTGTATGCTCTAAATATATACATCGCTAGATAACTAATAATGTAGTATATATACGCAAATATTTGATTCTGCCTGATCAATCAAGAAAAACAAATACCTGTTAATAATTCCAGGAGAAGGCAACCAAAGCTCCAAATATCAGATTTCTTGGACACTTTCTTGGAAGCCAGATATTCGGGTGATCGATAGGAAACCATTCGTTGAGTAGCGATGGGAAGTGCAATAAGGGAAGTGAGACCAAAGTCAGCAACACGAACATCATCATTTTCGTCAAGTAAAACATTGGTGGATTTTAGGTTGCCATGGGGAACAACGAATTGGGAGGAACTGACGTTCAGGTGTAGATGCTCTAGTGCTCGAGCAACACCACGAGCAACGGATAATCTTGAGCTCCATCGAAATGGTATCCTATCTCTAGTCCCTTTTCCTCCTATTGTTCAACCAACCACGGAAAAAAAAAATCAGTTATGTATTTGAGTAATTATAAATGTTATATGATAGACTACAAAGAAAAGTGGATCACAGTAAGATACCGTGAATGCGGTTGTATAAGCTTCCGTTAGGTGCAGATTTCAAGAGAAGCAACTTCTCATCCCTTGTATAGTAATAACCAAGAATAGGCAACAAATTTGGATGCTTTATATCACCAATAGCTCTTACTTGTCTCACAAATTCGTCATTTGTTAAAGGTTTCAAAACCCTCAAACGCTTCACCACAACAGTTGGTCCATCTACCAACATTGCCTTGTAACAATTTCCAAAATTTCCATTTCCCAAACCTTCTGCTGAAGCTCTCAGTAAGTCATCTAATTCAAAATTTATTTCACTACCTAAGAATATCAATTTGCCTTTCTCTAATTCAACCTCTGATGCCACACTTCTTGATTCCACACTCCTGGTTTCTGTTGGCGTTGTTGTGATCTCAGCTTTGCTAGTCTCCATTTTATCAACCTCCGTTAATCTTGTATTACTATTCATCAGCATTTTCTTAAGCTTTTTTGTTTTTTTAAAGTAGTAAATGACTAGATATAAAAGAACAACAATGCCCACAACGTTAATTACTACCAAGATTGGAGTTAACATGGATAATTTTGAACTATTTGAAGATTCATTATGTGAACTATCACTTGGAGTTGGTGTAGATGACTCATTATCCTTGATCGTGATGCACGTTGTGTTAGTAAAAGGAGGACCACATAAATCATGGTTACTTAAGTACGAGGACGGACCAAATTTTTGAAGAGCTATTGTGCTTGGAATTTCACCAGAAAGATTGTTGTTTGAGACATTGAAAACTTTCAAAGTTGACTGATTAAAACTGGGAATTGGACCGTTCAATTTGTTATTCTGTACCTGCAATGACTCTAACGAATTAAGTGTTAGAAGAGAAGGTGAAATTTCTCCGTCAAATCTGTTACCGGATAAATCAATGTTGTTCAAATTTTGGTTGTTGGAGAAGTTCATCAAGTTCCCTGATATGGAATTGTTCTTGAAGCTAAGTGTTTGTAATTGAGTGAGATTGACAAGTGCATTTGCCTCGAGTTTCCCAGTAAGGCCAAGATTTTCTAGCACAAGTCCAGTGACTCGACCGTTGATACAGCTAATACCATACCAATTTGGAGTGTTATTCATGTAACACATGAGGCTGTTCCAACTTTTTTGGAGCAATTTAGGATTGTTGAATTCAGCTCGAATCGCCCAAAGAGCCTCCCTTTCTGTGCCATGATAGCCTACCGTAGAACCATCTTCGGCTATGGACAGGGTACATAATTTCATCATGAAAAGCAAGACAACATAGTACTTGATGAAGAGACTAGATGAGCCCATTGTTGTTTGTGAAAAGGCAAAGAGATGCACACAAATAAGGCTCAAAAAACAGGGGAGGTAGTTGACAGCTACATTGTTGAGAGAAGAAAACAAGGACGATTGTTACGAGAAATTGGTTGTATTAATTTACAGCTGAGAATACTAGGAAAGTAGCTAATTACTTCGTTAACTTGTAGTACTAGGTACATAGGAGATACGTTTGATTATGGGAAACCTCGTGGCAGTGTTTTTGTCTAAGAATTTGCCGCAAGACAAGCTCTTTTTATCTTATTCGTCGAATAAGTTCTATGGGTTCAATTCTTAAGGTTCTTAGCATTGAATGTATACTTCCGTTTATAGTCACGAGTGATTTCTTCATACTGATTAAAATCCATTCAAGAAATAAATGAATCTCGAAATCCAAAAAATGTAATGCAATTGTTATGTAGAGGCAGAGATTGCACATCCCTAATGTTAGTCGATAGACAACAATTAGAACTTTTACCATGTTAAAGAAATAAACCTTAGGCCAAACTCAACTTCAAAAACTAACTCATACGGTGAGAAATTGTTTAAAACTATATAAAGAGACTACAACCTATACCCTTATTCTCGACCCAATATTAGGTAAAGCAAGAAAAAGGACATGTTTGTGGCACCAGAGAGCGGGCCAACAAGAAGGATTGGGAGGCTGGCAAGTTTCTAAAGAATGGTTCAGACAAATCTAACATTGGTATCAATAAGGATGATATGTCCGTTTTTGGGCTAAATGATGGCTTAGCCCAAGAGACAAACCATAAGGTCTATTGAGCCAAAGTGAATATTACTGTTGATTTATAATAGGTTGCACATAGTGCCGGCAAAATGAGCTCATATTTTGGTAACCCGTTCAACCCATCCATATTTAATGAGTTGGGTGAGTGATTTTTTACATGGGTAAAATATGAGTAAAGTATGAATTAGTCAAATGAGTTAAGCTTCTAACTTTTATTCACTATAAATTCATGATATCACTAAAAATATTGTAATTTCTCTTGCTTTTTATGTTCTTCTATGGAACTAATTATTTTTCATTATAATTGAAAAGGTGAAGTATTTGGCCCTCTAAAAATATATATTTTAAATGTACATTTTCTTTTGTTACTTATAATTTATTTATTTTATTTGTTTAATTTTATATTGGATAATAAATAATAGTATGAAATAAGCAAATCATGTATTAGTCTTGACATTGCTTAAAGTCCATTAAGCATGTTTTAGTCCTAAAATGCAAATATTCATTTACTTTGAAATTAAAAATATTTTCCCCTTCTAATTACATAATTGTATTTTATATTGAAAAGTTATAAGATCTTTTTTTACTTTTATGATACAATAAAGCTAAATGAAGCATTTTCAACATTTTTCATTTTAAAAAAGACTAAAATATTTTCTCCATGTTGAATTCTTAAGTAGAGTACTACTTGCTCATGAAAATATGGGTAAACTAGTATTTTACCCAACTCATTTCTTACCCAATCCATTTTTACCCATATCAAATATGAATGGGTTAAATTATTACCCATTTTATGTTGATCCATTTTTAACCCGCCCAAATTTAACCCAACCCGCCCACTTGCCACCACTAGTTGCACTTGCACAGAATATAGAACTATAGACAATATAATAGCCATCAATTATTCGCAAGATCGCATGCATGTCATCAGAGACTTAGTCGCGTGTGCCAGCTTCAAAATAAATTTTATTTCCAACTCTTTTAACCAAAAGTCAGTTGGATTGGGTCCATCTAATTAAGGTTTGTGTCCACTAGGAAAGCTTCCAATTGTCACATTAATCTTAATCAAATCCTCCTTTTGAACTACTAATCCATCACGTGAATGTGCATTGTTTTATCATTTATTTATTTTTTCCTATTCGGTACCCACACTGAAGCCCGATTAAATCCAGTTTCA